GGCTTGTTAACAAACAGTAAAACAGAAATGATTCTTCTTCATTGCTCAACTGCAATACTACAATATGCTATTTATAAGACTTTGCATACAATCATCATTCTAGAATAATCTAACAAACTTGACAGCTCACCATAACAGCTCATCAATACTAATTGCGTATGATAACAACCTACCCCTAATTCATGCAACGTAGGTGACTCATCTAGGTGACTTATCTTCATTGCTATTTATAGCTGCAACATCCTTCCAACTTCTCTGTTCTCCATCATCTTTATGATATTCATGGCTGCAACATTCTCCCAACTTTCACAATGCTTCTTCACCAATGACTTGATTTTTTCCCGAAACAAAGCAAAGGTTGAATTTGCTAATGGTTTTGTCAATCCATCAGCAAGTTGATGACATGCAGGAACATAGTTTACACTTAGTTCCTTATTTGCTACCTTCTCTCTCACAAAGCACATATCCAGTTCTACATGCTTTGATTTAGCATGAAATACATGATTGACACTCATCGCTACTTCACTAGTATTATCACTCCATATAACAGGAACATCTTCTTGTTTTTCACCCATGTCTCGCAATAAAGATTGAATCCAAACTACTTCAGCAACCGTGTCTGCAATACTTCGATATTCTGCTTCTGTGGTAGAACGTGCCATCGTTTTTTGTTTCTTTGAGCTCCATGAAACTAAATTTTTACCAAGAAAGACACATTGGCCTGATATTAATCTACGGTCATCCGGATTGCTTGCCCAATCAGCATTAGCAAAAGCAACAATATCATTTGTTGAGCTATTAGCAAGGAAAACAATACCATAGTTAATTGTTCCAGCCAAATACCGAAGTATTCGTTTAACAACTATCCAATGTTCTTCACATGGATTGTGCATATATTGAGCTACACGATGTACACTGAATACAATGTCTGGCCTGGTGTGAGTGAGATACAATAAGCCACCAACAATACTCCGAAACTGCTTACCATCACTAAGGGGTCCACCTGCATTCTTCTTAAGTTTTGATGATAAGATCATTGGAGTAGGAACTGCTTTAGTTCCTGTCATGGTTGATATTTCTAGAAGCTCCTTAATAAACTTTTGTTGTTTTAATACAAGCTTATCAGTATATCTTGTAACTTCAATGCCCAGAAAATAGCTTAAAGAACCAAGATCTTTAAGTGAGAATTTCTTACCTAGTTGTTGAACAACTGACTCAATAGCAGAAAATGAATTCCCAATGATGACAATATCATCAACATAAACAAGCATGAACACTCGGCTTTCATTCATACATTGTACAAATAATGAAGCATCAGCAGCTGATTCTTGAAAGTGAAAATCAAGAAGAACCCTACGCAGTGTTCCATACCACATACGAGGGGCATGCTTTAGACAATATAATGCCTTTTTCAAACGAAAAACTAATACTTCTCCATTAACAACATTCTGTTCAAAGCCAGGGGGTTGAGTCATAAACACCTCATTACCAAGATCACCATTTAAAAACGCGTTGTTGATATCCACATGTCGCAGAGGCCATCCATGAGCAGTAGTAATAGAAAAAACCACATTGATTGTAGCAGTTTTTACTACGGGGCTGAAGGTGTTATCAAAATCACAACCAGGTGTTTGGGAAAAACCTTTAGCTACTAAATGAGCTTTGTGCCGAGCTATTGTTCCATCCACATATCGCTTGGTTTTAAATAACCGCTTACAACCTACAGTAGATCGACCAGGAGGTAGAGGTTCAAGCATCCAAGTGTTGTTTCGAACCAATGCATTATACTCATCAAGAACAGCTTGCTTCCATTCAACTGAATGCAAAGCTTCATAAACTGATGTTGGTTCATTGGCAGAATTAATATGGTCAGATGTAGAGAAAAAAACCTTTGGCTTAAAAATACCCATCTTGTTGCGTGTTATCATCGGGTGAGCATTTTGAATTAGCGGAGAATTAGAAGCCAAAACAGTGTGAGTATTACTATTCTCATCTTTAACAGGATATGATGCATCGGGTACAGTAACAGTGTCACTCTAACTAGGTGTAGTAGGGCTACTTTGAGATTGATACTCAGAGGAGGATGAAACAGGTGCTTTGCCAAGACGATTAGCACCTGGAATAACAAGCAGGGAACTGCTCGAACTTGAAGGATTCTGCGATGTATCGCTTTTTATTTCGATATCCGCATATGGAAACACATATTCATCAAAATTTACATGTCGAGAAATAAACACCCTGCCATCTTTTGCCAAACATTGATAGCCTCGGTGCTGAGGACTATAGCCAAGAAAAATGCATGGTTCAGACTTGAAAGTAAGTTTAGTAGAGTGAAATGGTCGCGTATATGGAAAACAGCGATAGCCAAATACACGTAAGTGAGCATATCCAGGCTTCTTCCCAAATAATCGTTCAAATGGAGAGACACCATTAAGAACCTTAGTTGGAAGTCTATTGATCAAATGAACAGCAGTGACAACAGCATAGGACCAAAACTTCATTGGTAAAGAAGCACGAGCTAACAAGGTAAGGGCCATTTCAATAATATTATGGTGTTTCCTTTCAACAACACCATTTTGCTAGGAAGTGTGAGGACAAGTAAGCCGATGTTGAATGCCCTCTTGAGAAAGATGATTAGTGAATGGACGATATTCCACGCCCCAATCACTCTGAATAGCAAGTAGCCACAAACTGTGTATGAACAAGTTGTTTGAACAACTTAAAACAGTGCAGTGCTTGACCCTTATCTCGGAGTAAATACAACCAAGTATGTCTTGAATATGCATCAACAAATGCAATGTAGTACTTAAATCCATTGGATGGAGTGGGTGCAGGGCCCCATAGATCAGTAAAAACCAATTGAAATGGTCGATCATAGATCGTAAGAGATTTTGGAAACGATAAAGCATGTTATTTTCCCATTTGACAAGCAACACATAAGGAATGAGGAGTTTTATTTAAACCAAAGATATTAACATCAATACATGTATTACTCAAGTCTATCAAAATAGCATAAGAGGGATGACCAAGACAATCATGCCATGTATTGTAATCAACGCCTACTCCGTTCGAAACAAACACTTTTGGACTAGGACCTTCACGCAATGGAGCACTAGACTGAAATTCATATAAACCATTAACCTCCTTCCCTCGCAACAAAACAGCACCAGAATCTTCAACACCCACCACACAATCTCGAGCATGAAATTCCAAGAAGACACGATTGTCTCTAGCAAGCTTTAACACCGACACAAGATTTTTAGTTATAGAAGGAACATGAAGCACATCAAATAATGTCAAAGAATGAGAGGAGGTGGGTATTGAAGAATAACCAGTTTTCGAAATTTGAAGAAATTTACCATTCCCAATCATTAACTTACCATGACCAACATAATCTGCTTCATCAGCAACAATAGTCTCATCAGCAGTGACATGGTGCGTAGCACCTGAGTCAATAAACCAAGTGTCTGAGTCAGTACTCAGAGATCCACGACCCCGTCCAGCAGGTCTAGGAGAATGCACAAAAGTCTTATTGGTGCATCCACATTCACGAGTGTCCTTGTAATGACACATATTGGATGATGGAGACTGATCAGTCGAGCGATCTTTGCGGCTTTAAAAGGAAACACCCTTGAAGGTTTTATCAAACCTATACCAACAATGGTCAACTAGATGACCAATTTTACCACACAGTTGGCACTGAAGTCTAGAGCGACCTCGACCGCGACCAGGATTAACGTTTTGAGTTCGACCATAGCTTCTGAAAGTGGAATGCGTATCCAGTTGATCATCATTCATGGACTGAAGGGAAACACGAGCAAGATTAGCACTCATATGAACAATATCATAATGATCAAATTTTTTTTGTTGAGTTTCAGCATCGATCAAAACTGAAACGACTCTTTCAAGTGTAAATGGCTCTTGGCTGGCAGTGATAACTGCAATGAATGGAAGGTATTCTAGTGGAAGACCATTAAGTAAGGTGGCAATCTTCTCAAATTTAGAAATGGGACTTCCACAAGCATCCAAAGCATCAGTTACTTCTTTAACTTGATAAATGTAAGCTCGCATTCCCAGATCGCCTTTCTTGATTGTCTTTAGCTTGTAATGGAGATTCATAAGCGTGGTGGTAGACTTGCTGGCAAAGAATCGATTCACAGTTTTCCAAACATCAGCGGCAGTCTCAGCTCCAACAAGTTGAGGAAGTAAGGAAGGGTTGATGGCGGAGAGCAACCAAGACGCCAAGGCACTATCTTGGGCTATGAACACTTCATATTCTTCATTCTGAACTTTCAGCCCATCATCCCCAAGAATCGTAGCAGATGGAGGCTGGAGAGCACCGGTGAGAAGCTTCTCAAGCCTATGACTCCTTACTGCTAAGAGAACCTGCTGCTTCCAGAGTAAAAAATTGAATTCGTCAAGAACAATGCTAATCTTTTTGTTGGTAAAGACCTTACCACTGAGAGATTCAGAGGAGCCACCGGTGGAGTCAGCAGAAGGAGTGGCCATCAGGGAAAAAAACTAAATTCCCACAGATTCCCGAGTACAAGCGACTGATACCATGTTAACAAACAGTAAAACAGAAATTAAAAATAGAAATGATTCTTCTTCATTGCTCTACTGCAATACTACAATATGCTATTTATAAGACTTTGCATACAATCATCATTCTAGAATAATCTAACAAACTTGACAGCTCACCATAACAACTCATCAATACTAACTGCGTATGATAACAGCCTGCCCCTAATTCATGCAACGTAGGTGACTCATCTAGGTGACTTATCTTCATTGTTATTTATAGCTGCAACATCCTTCCAACTTCTTTGTTCTCCATGTCTTTCTGATATTCATGGCTGCAACAAGGCTCTGCTGACTTCCTTTTTCATGTTCAGTAATGACCTCCGAAGTTCTACTTTGTATCTTATATGCTCTTTCAGGCAATGGACAGAGCCCATAGATTGGGCCAACTTAAATTTGTGAATGTCAACCGGCTTATCATGCGAGGGACCCTAGAGGAAAAAGTTATGAGCCTTCAGAGGTTCAAACTATCGGTTGCCACTGCTGTTGTCAATGCCGAGGATGCCAGTTTGAAAACCATGAATGCTGACCAGTTGCTCGATCTATTTGCCTCTGCTGAAACATCTAAAAAAGTATTTTTATTTCGAACTTCATCATTTTTTGTTCCTTAATCGGTTTTTGTTTTCTTTTTTCAATGTTTGAGTATGGTGGTCTCGTGTTCTTCTCAAGATACAAAAATGAAAGAAATCCATTGAATTTCCATGTTCCTTCCCTACATTACTTCAACTCTTCATTTTATCAAAATAGAGGTTTATTTGGACATGAGAATGACCCTCTGAAAACATGATGAAACTTCGAATGGATTAAACATGTTTATGTCTAGACGTTATGTATTTGACACTTACATTCGAGTACAAGTAATGTAGCTCATCTTTTCAGTTCTTCTGAGAAGAGAGATACCAATGTATTTCGTTTGCAGGGAGCTAGTTCTTCAAAACGTGCAGAGAGCGGTATTGACGGAGACCCTAAATTAATGGGTACGGAGAAGGGATTAAAAGCCATTCTTGGTGGTTTGGAGGAGCTTTGGGATCAATCACAATATACAGAGGAATACAATTTGAACCAGTTTTTAGCTAAACTTAATGGCTGAGATCAAGCTGTTCAAAGACAAACTTCAAATGGTCGAGAGATCATTCCCGGATGACCACTCGGGTTTTTGGATCACGGCATGCTAGATTTTGATTCCTGCCAGTTAGTACTGAAGCTAATCGACGGAAGCCAGCTGCTCATCTGTAAAAGAAAATGTATATATCTAATTTAGGACCCTAATTTTGGTAAATTTTAGGTTTAGCTTTCAATTTTTGAAATATATTCACCCAAAATTTGGGATGTTATTGCCAAAATTTTGTCTATCCCGAAGTTTGCACAAGTGAGACGGGGGAGAGAAGGAAGAAAAGAACGAAGGCTGGTTTTGAAGTGGTTGGTCCCAAGTCCGGAGATCAGAGTTTGAGTTGGTCGGAAATTACAGGTAGAGAGTTGTAAAGCCGATTATTGTATATAACTTTCTTTTCTCATAAATCTATAGATTTGTCATAGCGCAAAAAGTTTCAATCCCTAAGCGACAATATATATATATATATATGAATGAACATGAATCGTCTGTTAGAAACCTTTTGGTATATATGAAGTTTAGATTAAATGACGGACGAGAGAGAGGTATTAAATAATGGTAATGTCTTCACATTTTCTAGTCACGGGCGAGGGGTGACGGATCATATTCAATGTGATTTTGCTCCTCAAATCGAGCTTTGTTCTTTTCGGCGGTCGGTTAATTTTATTGTTTGTTCTTTTGGTTTGTTTTTTTATTAATTTGGGTAAGTACAAGATAGTATATATTCAAATATAATTCTCAATTCTTTTAAGATTAAACGCTCACATTCTAATATTTATAGTGATCGAGCCCGATACCTTAAGGAATAACATTAATTTATTTACCGTTGAGGTCAATTGATTCGTGTTTTCTTTTGCTATTTGGATGTCATGCACATCAACATTTGTATTTTTGACTTCAAAGTCCAAAGGGGAAGAAACAACAAGGTAACTGCATGAAACAAGGTACGTTCAATTTTCCAATCTAATTTAATAAATGGTCATATACAAACCGTACTTCATAAATCAACCGAGGGGGGGGGGATTGTAGAGTAGGGTGGGCAGAAACGTGTTTAAGGTACCAAGGTGGTCGTGGTTTATGGAAGAATCCACAGCCTCAAAGGAGGGGGGGAAATACGGTACAAAATTCCTAGTTAAACAATATATCTTCTTAGAATCATTTTAATGTAATTTAAACTCATTATGTTTTAAAATTATTCATATCATTTATCCACTTTAATAGATATCATTCTCTACAAAAAAATTGTTTTAAAAATATATATTTCAATGAACTTTATTTTCTATAACTCAATAAGGGCATAATTTATTAAATATTAATCGTAGGACACATGTGATAGTTACTCATTTCATCATTCAATAATGAGGTTGGAGTTCAATCTTCATATACAATAAAGAATCAATCATTACTACTGATTCATGATGAATATCTTATTTTTATAAAAACAAAACTATATTATTTTATGAATTTGATGTAACATTTAAAATTTAAAAAGCAAATAGATGTAACATTTGTTATCGTTATAAAATGATTTATAAAAGTAATTTTTGTTTTTGATATCTATCAAATTTTTTTATATTATATGAGATTTTAAAAAATTTAAATATATAGAATGAATTAATTTATATTTTTAACCAAATTAGATTAATTAAATGAACATTTAAACTTTTAGTATTTGAGGTTTAGATCTACAATGGTAAATTAAAAAAGAGAAAGTCAATAATCATTTGAAAAAAAACTAAGTTTGATGCATCTAACCTCATATTAATTAGGGGTGGATGCACTCAGCCTCCATAAAGGTGAAATGCATCCTATTATTTTAGAAAAATTATTAAATTTAGTTTAATGTGTTAAAGAAAAAAATAAAAAAAATTTACATACCTATTATTTAAAATAAAATTAAAATTTTAGATCATCATTCTTAAATTTCTAGATCGGTCACTACCTCGTATGTTATAAAACTTTAATAGCGGCTAACTACTTGACTTACAATTTCATCCAACATTTTACTAAAACCACTTTATTTTCGTGTTGGGTTGGATTAGATTTAGTAATTTTGAATGTCAGTAATATAAAATGTATAATTAATAGGTCTATAAACGAAACGAACGAACACAAATGAGAGTATGTTCATGTTCGTTCGTTTAGTTTTAACTGAACAAACGAATGAAAATGAACAACTAAATGAATGGAATTTCTTATTTGTGTTCATTCATTAAAAAAATTAGCTTGTTCGTGTTCGTTTATGTCCGTATGTTAAAATGATAAACAAACACAAACGAACGAACATAAATGAACACAAACGAAAGAACATAAATGAATATAAATGAATGAACATAAAATTAATTGGGTTTATATTTTATAAGATTTTTTTATTTCCAAATAGTTTTAGGATTTATATTGTTTTTAATTGATTTGAGATTATTTTTATTTAGGTTACAAATTTATTGAATTTAAAAATATTAATGGGTTTAAGGTTGAAATTTATTAAGTATTAATATTTCAAAACGGATATGGATAACATAAACAAACAAATACAAACGAGTGAACATAAACAAATGAGTTACCGAACGTTTATGAACGTAAATGAACGAACAAGACTTTTGTTCATGTTTGTTTATTTAATTAAACGAACATAAAATTTTGTTCATATTCATTCATTTAAATAAATAAACGAACATAAACTACCTTCTTGTCAAACGGTTCACAAATGAATCGTTGAATGATCGGTTATTTTACATGCATAATAATTAATATGAAAATAATGATTCAATGTAGTTAGATACAATTATAACGTGCAGCGTACTCTTGCTTAGATTTTTATTATATTTAATAATATACATATTATGATAATGGTAATTTATATTTTTTGTGTTCATGAATGAGACAAAAATTGAAATAAATAAATAAATAAGAGTTGCTTTTGTCACGAGCTAGAAACTTGGGTCCGAGACATTGGTGTAAGCGTCCGACAAAGAGGTTCAATATGGAGTATCGGACTTACCGTGACCACCAGACTTATCCCATTCTTGGAGAATGCTTAGCAAGTCCGTGAAAGATCTATTACGAGGTGTCCGAGAGAAGCGACGAGGGCGATGAGGTTAATTCTATCAAGGCTCGTGGATTCGAACTAAGACATGTGAGCAGATATCTGTAAGAGAATTATACAGACTATTGGGCTTGCCCAGAACCATCAGATCTGGCCCATTCCTTGGAGGATTCTAGAAGGATAAGGTTAGGTGAGATTGCCTTAAATTAAGGGAGGTGGGTTAGGTGGGAATCAATCCTAGCCTTTCATGTAAAACGATATTGGCCATCGATTGAGAGGGAGCTCTCCTATAAATAGAGAGCTCTCCTCCTCATTTGTAATCACCCATTCCATTATTCTCTTTGTGAGAGAGTAATATAGCTCTAAGGCATTTTCTCTATTCTTTCTGAGTTCTTTAGTTCTTTGTTCTTGTTGCCTATCTTGGTGGCCATGAGTAGCCACCTTCGTGTTTGCACTTCCACATAATAATCTGACTTTGTGGCTTGGAGTAGCCACGTTGGTGTTAAAGCTTCTGCAATCCGAAGCCTTGAGGGCTTGGTTCCAACCTTTGTGAGTTTGCACGCTCACTAGGCTTAGGTAAGGCTTACTTAGTTGCAAAGAAGACCGAGGAGCGTCAAGAAGCGTCTAAGGCCTCACGATCCGTCAGACCTTGACTCTGATATTCCGACGATTTGAGGCGTCGAAGTTCTGAGGGCGTGACAAGTGGTATTAGAGCGAGTCATTGTAGGCAAGCAACGATCGTTTCGACCGTGTTTTGGTGGAAGGTGCGAAACCGGGTAAGTTTATTTTACTTACTTTCAATCAATTTACTTTGATAATTGAGATGAGGCACAAGAGAAAAGGAGTTTCCGCAAGCAAAGGCAAGGAGTGCCATGGTGGGAAACGGGAAGAGAGTCCGTTGGGCTCAAGAGCATCGTCGGTGTCCAAGCATAAGGATGTCGTGATGAGTTTGCAATGAATGCTCGAAGCAACAATAACACGTCAAGATAAGCCAGTTCTCGAGGTAGAGAGGCTCAAGGGTGACGCTGAAGGCATGTCCGAGGGAGATGACAAGTTCTCTCATGAAGACAAGAAGAAGAACTATCATTGTACGAGAAATGGGCCTATTGGATGGAATGTATTGCTGACCACACAGAAAGGCTCATTAATCTAGAGTATATCTCAACTTCGTGGGAACAACGGGTCGGTTGACTTGAACAAGCCGAGGATGAGGCTAACCAGGCTCAAGATGTTGTGGAGTCTCGCCTTGATAGATTGGAGTCCATGGAGGGTAGATTCAAGGTCGAGACGCAACGAGTTCTAAACGAGTTCGAGACAGTTCGAGGGAGTAATGCCTAAGAAGCCGAGGTAACAGCTTTGAGGAATGAGGTGGATGAGCTCAAGAGGGAGCTACTCATATACAAGGGAGCAATGAGTGAATGGGGTGCGCTCAAGACCTTCTTGGAATGACTCATACCAGGGGCTGATGTCAAGCCAAGTAGCAATGTATCGTCCAGGCACATGCCCAAGGATAGTGGCAATGATGGGGGAGACCGGGAAAAGGTGCAGCGGGGAGATGGTATAGAAAGCTCTTCGAGTGGCCAAGTTGAGCCATCGACTGTTCGTAGCCAAGGAAAGCCATCGGGAAAGAATGACAAGGCTAAGTCCGGTGCAAAGAAGAAGGCGAGCAAAGAAAAGCTGAAGTGTTATTTTTGTGATGGTCCTCACATGATTAGAGGATGTCCCGAGAAGCATCGCCTCACAACCATCCTGAAGGTGATGGGAGAAAGAGAAGTAGCATGAATTGGCGGAGGCACAAGTAAAGCTGGCAAGTATATAAAAAGACTTGGTCTGATTGAAGGGATCAATGTGGCCAAGCAAGAATCGAGACGAGGTAAGGTTGTTGATGTCGAGACAGTCGAACCCAGAAGGAAGCCCGATGCGATTGCGGGTGCTCAAGCAATCAAGTCAAGGGCAAGACTTGATGAGGCCACATGTTCCAAAGTAGCCGAATCAAGGGACATATATAGTGAGACTACAAGCTATCAAGTAGTTCGCCCAGGATCGAGACGTGCCGAGAATGCGGGTGTCAAAGCAGTCGAGCACAGGAAAGGACCCGGTGCGATAGTGAATGATAAAGTCGTCAAGCCGAGGGTGCAAAGTGAGCAAGTTCGCTCACAATATGCCAAGATGGAGGCGTGGTCCAAGTTGAGGCGTCTCAGGCATAAGGGGATACTTAAAGAGGATGTAAGCCGATTCAAAAGACTCATGCTCAAAGTCCCGAGTTTGACTGAAGAAGATACGTTCTTCACCTTCATGTTCGGACTGAAGCCGTGGGCGAAGAAAGTGTTCGAGCGAAGGGAAGTCAAGGAGTTATCTAAAGCCTTGACAACCGT